TTTTTAGATGCTATTTTAGTCAAACCAATCCCTTTGTGGCTATCACAATATGATCTTGACCCCTTCTTATATATTGGGACCATTCAGATGGGATTACGTCCAGTTCCTAGATTCTAGCTATTATTAGTCAACCTAATCTCTAAAACTGAACCAGCACTCTTAAAGCCCATAGGAATTAATCCATCTGCTCCTACTTGTTTCAGATTAGCCAAAGCTTTTTAAACTTTCGTCAGTCTCATGGGCCTGTTTCAATATTCCTTTCGGGCTGTTTGAGAATCGTGGGTAGGTGAAGGTCAGTTGAATTGTTCTTTAGTGTTCCGCTGATCTTCCTAAACTTCTGGACTGACGGCAGACAAGCGTGTCGTCTTTTCCAGCGATTGTCCGGTTTCTTTTATTAGTCTGAATAGCTCCTAATACTGCACAATCAGAGTTCATAACGAGCGGCAATCTTCTATCGAGTTTCTCCAACGATGACTAATCGAAATATGATCTATTCGAGTTTGTAGTTGGTTTAATGTAGGGGGACTCCATGTTAGAGGATGTCCCTCCTTATGCTTGAATTAGTGCTTGTTAGAAGTAAACGATTGTCTAAGCGTAGTTGCAACAGACGGTCACCACCATCGGTTCTCTGAGCCGGAATACCAAAATACTCACCTAAATGTCTTTCCGATTGGTTGAAGCAACATACCTGGGCATAAAAGTCACTTGCTACGAGTACTATATCTAAGTGTTCAGCTTTTCAAAGAAGTTCAGAAAGCTTTCTGTAAAAGTCATCTTTTAATTCAACCAGGCTGCAGTCAGTTGGAATGCAGGCAGAAATGACAAAAAGACAACAGCGTATTTCTCTATATTTGCAAGTTCTTACGGGGAAGTTTAGGCGAACAGCACACAGGCGACTGTCAACGGGGATCCTTTCTAATAGTGCTTGATGTGCCCTCGTACTCAGTGTCAGGTCAACACACCCCTCAGTCCACGAGAACTAGCCATCTAGTCACCAAATAAACGGAGGACGTAGCTTGTCGACTCCCCGTTTTGGCTAGGTGATGTCGAGTAAATATGTTCCGGAGAAAAATAGGAAACGATATCGAAGCTAAAATGAAATGGACTACGATTGTGAAAAATAAAGAAGCAAAACACAACACACAAATTAATGTTATCCTACTGGTTCTATCGTAAGCAACAAATATATATATAAACTGCATAGAAGAAGGGGAAAGAGATAAAATAATAGCGTCCACACACAGAAACCACGTACAAGTGTTCTAAACTAAGAAAGGAAACCAATGTAGACAGGATGGTGAAGTACATTTCTGGGAGATTTTTGGCCGGTAGAAAACGTTTATCTGTCTGAACGCAATAGTGGACTGGGAAAATAAGATAAACGATTTTTAGGCCATAAATAACGAAGTGACCCACCGTCATATAGTTGTGAATTGTCAGTTGGAGATTTTATTTAATTGTAATGCACGAGTTTTACGTTTTGGACGTAATATAACGGGTAATCCAGATGGTGGTCCCATAACTATTTGACTGTCTTGTGATGATGAATCTAAACGGTTTTTGCATACACCAGAAATGCAGTAACAACGCAATGGGACACACGGACGACCAGAACGTCTACAACTACACCGTGCTTGACATGTCCCTCGGCATTTACATCGATGTGTATGTGAATCTGCATTAGATTTTGACTGATTAATGGAAATAAAAATGAATTTATTTAATAACTATGAATATGTACAAATATTGTTAAGTAAATACTTCGACATTAAACTGTAAAGTGAACTCACTCTTGAATTGCCCACCCAGAACACACTTTTTATCAC